TTTTTTCTCTAAAAAAGATTTGCACCCTCCCCCCTGGGGGGGGGGGGGTGATCTTAGTAGCTCAGTTGGTTGACTACCTGAACTTTCAGCTTGTTGGTGAGGGTTCGATTCCCCACGTTGTAATCCCCTTCCCCTACCCCCGAAGAAATTAGAAAAAAACATCCTTGATGGAAAGCTAGTAGTTGCAAGCAAACTGATCTTTACAAGTCATAATAGTATGATTTTCGACGAATTCTTAACCTCTTTCCTCTATTGGACTAATACCACCAAAAGAAATGTATGGTACTACAAAGACATACCACATTAAGAGTCTCTTTCTTCTTATTAAGAAACTGAATGGTGTTCAGGCACGATCTTATGTCACAGTCTGCAAAAAAAAAAAATTGAAATCAAGTTCAAGTTGCTGATTAACAGGAAAACATACTTGGCAAGATGTAACAATCCAAAGCACAAAAAGAAGGAACAATGCAGGATATTGAATAAATAAGCAATTACAGCAGCTGAGTAAAGATCCAATAAGAAGACTTCTCAATAATACAAAGAAACAAACAAATTGCAATTTCTAGCATTTCCCCCTCAAGAACAACAATTTATTTTTAAGATATGATATGATCAGTAAAGTAAGAATAACATCTGTAGAGAGAGAACCAAGATGATGCGTACAAAATGTACAGCAGTAACAAAGGCAAAGAAGGAATAGATAACTAACAGCAGAAACTTAGGTGTGCTAAAAATTACAAATCTCTTCAGCCTTGCTGCACATTCTTCCATACATCAAAAGATGTATTTAAGTATTTGGTATCAGCATGCGTTTCGCGTCTTCACATTTTCAAAGCACCTAAGAATTCTATCATAGAATTGGTGAGGCACAAGTTCCCCTAATCTTTGTTTTATCAAGTCCCATCAAATAAATCATCTCATAAGGGTGTTATAACCCACTGAAACACAAAAAATATAGAAAATAAAACAGGGCTCATTTACATTTCAGTTTGTTTTGATATAGGTTCTCTCCTTTTGGTATATGACTTGTATACGGGGTTTCCCTCAATAGTTAATAAAAGTATTTACCTTATTAAAAAAAGGGCAAAAAGACGTAACTGAAGAGACTCCCTTCTCATTGTCTTTACCAAACAAACTGCATGTTCCCTCCCCATCAAACTGGGGTTTATATCGAAGTATAATCGAGCAGAATCTGTGTGGATTTCAATCATTACTTATTCTACTAGTGACAGCTATAGTCACCCGTCATTACAGTTAGATGTAACTGCAGATCAAGGCACAATTCTCAACAATTTTAGTTCACAACTCAAATAATTTTATGTTCATGAACTCAAATAATTTTAGTTTCAGATGATTACACCACATCTCATCAGAGAAATTCAGATTTAATAAGTGATGTCTTCAACCAAAACGAAGGAATGGCACTCACCAGTATACTCTGCTAGAGCAGTAAGAGCGATGGAACTTGTCTTCACTCTTTCTCTGTTACATATGTATTTGAGCCTACAATTACGCATTAAAAATTAGGCTTTGTTAGACTTAGAAATATCTTGTGAAGATACTGGCTCTGCTAAATAAACACATTGTTCTATGATAAGTCTAAATCAAAGTAAGGTCCTAACAACTGAAAATTGGAACAAGATTCGTGCTTTTCCAATATGTGCATACTTCTTAAAACATAAAGGATTCAGGAGTACATGAAAGTGTCAATACTTTTTGAGTTATAACATGGAAACGTCAATCACCCCATTTGATCATATCCAAGAAATAAGAACACAAAACAAAAGTGAATGGGCAGAATGTGTTTGATGCTTTATCAGATTCTGTCAATCACCTTGTCAGTCAAGATACAACTTTCCAATAGCTTCCACGGGAAGAGTTATACAGGTCATTAATAATTTAATATAGCATGACTTTTGAGACATGTACACCAAATGGCAAATAGAGTTCTCGTTCGTCAATATGGTAGGCTAAGAAGCCATATGAAATATAGAACTCCCAAAATAAAATTTGTTAACTCGAAATGTTAGATAATAGCATACATATAGCAGAAAAACATTCTGATTTGCAATTTTGGATTTTAATTAGCCCCCTCAATCTGCGGTATCTTAAACTCCATTTGACTGAAACTTTGAAGTCCTTTTATAGGCCATAAAATTCAATGCGATGCAAATCCTTTTGTTTTTTTTTAAACTGGTAACTTTTTATATTCCTCAGCATTAAGGGCTATGCTGGCCACCTCCAAAAAAAAAAACTGTTACAACAAAAGGAAAAGACTAAAAAGAAATACTTACAGAGATCCTATGAAGTCCACTAATGTCTAAGCTTTGTGTAATGAAAATCTATACATTCAGATATTATCCTCAATTGTATCTGACTCAAAATCCTTGCCTTTTGCGACTGTACGACGAACAATCATTGAATTTTAATTATTTTATCCGGTCAACATGGCCAAATTATTAGGAGATTTTGTTACAAGTTACAAATCTCCCTAGGATTTGAAATCACTCAAATTGGTTGGAGTATTGCATTACTTAAATCTGAAAGATTATGCTTGGATGTTAATCCAGTAGGTTTTCCTTTCTACTCTACCAAGCAGTTAATCATACAGAAAATGGAAAACAGATTCCAGGGGATTAGTCGGATAATTTAGTAGTAAGTACCTGTTAACAACCCGACTTACAGTTGGTTGGACGAATATATGAACCCTGCAATTTCAACCACATAAATAAGTACTTTGTTAGTCATGTAATTAGATATAATATAGGTAATATATGAAAGTGTCCAACATATAGTGTTAACATTTCACTAAAAAGGGAATCTGGATCATACATAAATAGACTGCATCCAATACCAGAAAAAGTGAAAGGATCAATAAAAGGACTATAAAGTTACACCAGGAGAAGCGCTAATTGAGCGACATGTTGTTGGTCCTAGATGTGAAGCAAAGGAGTAAAGCGAAAAGGAAGAAAAGTAGCAATAACAATTTGATGATGGACATTAAAAGGTAAAACCCAAAAGCATTTAATGACAAGTTATTTATAGGGGTTGCATGGGACTTACAAGACAACACAGATACCTTGGGGCAGGAAACAATGAGTTGCATTAAGAAAATAACAAGTGAAGCACTATGCATGTCTAGAAACCTTTTGACCAAGAAGCATGTCTTGAAACCTATGACCTCGGCCACAGGAATCATGGTGGTGGAATTTGAAGGAGCAATAAGCTATTAAATCAAAACAGGAGTGGTGCAGTAACTTATCATCAACAGAAGATAGAAAGTTTTTGAATAGTATAACAAATAGAGGAGCTAAGCAGACTATTAATGGAACTCAAGGAACTAAGCAGACTATTGACGGACCAGAACTTAAGAAACCAGTACCAAAAGCTAGGATGCAGATAGGAAAAAAGAAATGTTCAAGTTATTGAAGAGAAGAGGAGTAAATACTTGAACCAAGTTAAGTGAACTAAAGACCTCCACTTAAGTGAACTAAAGATCTCCACAAGTTTAAGAGATAATGAGATCAAAGAGATGGAGAAGCTACTTCAATCAATTGCTTAACACAAATCATAAAGATAACTTGATAGATGTTCATACATCCACAACAGACAAAAACCTTAGCTGCACAAGTAAAATTAGGTATAGTGAAATAAAAGATACAACAAAGAATATGAATTAGAAAGACTATTCGGCAGATAATATCCCAATAGAAGTTTGGAAGCACCTTGAAGAGGTCGAAGTGGTATGGCTAACCAAACTATTCCATTTACTAAGTGAACAGATGCCAATATATAAGAATAAATGTGACATTCAAAGTTAGGCTAACTATTGTGGATGTACTAACTTAGTCATGCATGAAATTATGGGAAAGAGTGGTAGAATATAGACTTAAGGACATTACAAGGGTGACATAGAGCCAACTGATTTATGTCAGGTAGATCTACAACAAAGGCTATTAGTTTGTTAAGATGATCGACGGAAATTTCTAGGGAGATGAAGAAGAATCTCCCATTGATATTCATCTACCTAGAGAAGGCATACAATAAGTGGGTACGTGAAGTCCTTTGGATGCTTGGGAAGAAAGAGTTCACATCAAATATACAAATAACATAATAGGATATGTACGAGAGAGCGGTCACGCATGAGAAAACAGTGGACAGAGATACAACATGAGTTCTCTTTAACCATGGGCTTACACTAAGGATCAAGCTTGACCCATTCTATTTGCCCTAGTCATGGATGACCTCACCACTAGTATACAGGCCAGTGTTGTCAAAGACGCTCTTAAAGCACGCTTTAGCCCTAAAGCAAGGCCCAAAACATGTTGAGCACTTTGCCTCGCTTAATGTGCACTTCAGTGTTGTCATTAAGGTATAAGACAAACTTTTCCTTGTGAATGAGTGTTTCTTGAAGAGGAGACATTAAGCAATTGGTAATTCACTTTATGTAAAAAAACTACAATTTCTTTGTCCATATATTTGTTATTCATGCTTATATTTATTAGTCTTGGACTAAACATATATATATTTGTATTTTTTCTATTAAAGCCCACACTTCAACGCTTTGTGCTTACAGCCCCAACAGAACCAAAAACCAAAAAATGATGCATAGAACTAGAATAAGACAACTGAAGGTAGGCAAGCGAGTGCATAGCAATAAGAACCTTATCAAACTCAAAATCAAGTTCAAAGAATTCATGTGAAACCAGCAAAGTCATATAAAAGTGATTGTTTAGTCTACGGCTTTCTTCATGGACCTAGTATTTAGATCTCTAGATGCTAATCTATGCACTTCAATCTGCTGTCCTGCAAAATTTAAGCAATACTTACTTTGCTACCTGACGCAAAGGCCTTAAGGCAGGAGCATAAAGGTCATTACATATGCAAATAACCTGCAAATGAAACACACAAGTTGAGATTAGAGAACGCCATGACTATAGCCAAAGTTAATATACAAATGAACATTTTTAGACAAATTCACTCTTACAGGTCTTAGCAAAGATGTTTTTTGATGCCTCTTTTTAGATGACTTCTGCCCAGCATTTCCTCCCTCAGGTTCATTTTCTTTGCCTGCACGCAATTTTCTTTCAGCAGAAACCTGCATTGATAAAGCACACACTGTTATTCTATCAGAAAACATACATAGTTTCAAAAAAGAGGCCCAACCAAAGGCTGAAATTCACTTCATAATCACTGTGAATAACATATGGTGCCAGAGTACTCCATAGTACTGATATTATCGTTCTATCAAGTTCCAGTAGACCAAGTACCAAGTGGAAGTTTCTCCCATGGTATTTTAAGGATTTGTGAGTCTAAGCTGCATGAACTAATAAAGCAAAGCTAGGGCTAGAAAAAGGACAGCTCAACTCCCACTTTTGGGGTGACTAGTTGATTTATAAAGTTGAACATATATGTATCATTCAAGCTGCAAAATAGAAAGATAGCAACATATAGACTCCATTGAAAATTAATCAGCAGTAGGTACATAAGACCTTAAAATCAATCTATCAATGTCCAAATTAAAATTCTTAACAAATCTTAGTTTCTTTTTACTTCTAAATTTGAATATGAACAAGCAAGAGGGTTCAAGGAGCTGAAGATAGCTCAAATGACTCTTCAGGAGCCAGCAATATTACTTATCAATACAAAAGATTCACATACATTTTTCCTACAGCTATAATTTATTACCACTCCTACTGGGATTACTAAAATCACAAGTGTGAAACAAATCAAAAGCGAATACGTAAATTACCAATTTGAGGATGACCTCAACAGCTCCCTTTCCATCATTAAGAGCCCCATCTATTTCATCAATAACCTAGAACAGCAAAAGATGAACCATGGTTCAGAAGAAAAAGATTGTAGATTCCGCTGATAAATATTTGAAACCGAAAATCACAACTATATTCTGACAAAATATTTGGGCTTTAATCATCAGAGGGAGATTTAAAACCAAAAAAACAGAACTTAAACTGACCAAACATTTGGGCTTTGAATCAGCATTTACAGAGTTCATTTGAACCACATCATGTATTTTAGCTTCAATACTGGCGGATGATCGATCATCACTTGCATTAATCTGCAAAGGAAGCATTTCAATCAACAGATAAACAGACACCTATTACTCCATATTAATTTGATTCGAAGGATATTCAAGGTTGGTGGTAGGTATGAAGGCATTTTGAGTTTGTGTAGCTCATATTTAAGCAGGGAAATCAAGTTTTGCCATAACTTATCCATGAAACTTGAGAGAAGTCAAGCATACACTAGAATGCAGGCACAGAGCAGAGTGTCCATCTGTTTCAGGCTTCTAATATGTAGGCCGAGTTGCATCGCAAATTTGTTTTTTCATCTGAACTGATTTTAAAGAATATACAATTCACGAAAAAGTTTTTATTTAAATTAAGAGACAAACTACTAGCACCCGGAGATTTAGAGATATGTAGAATTTAAGTGTGGAGTCAAGTACACTTGTTATTCTAGCACATACTAAAGAGTAGAATAAGTTAATAACCTTTTCAGATCCTTCATGGTAACAAAAATAATTCATAAATGTGACTGGCAATGAGCTAACACTCTCTCACCAGACCTCGTTGACAATGATTGCGATAATAAGATATAAAGGAGATAAAAGTTTAAATGAACAACTATATGGGACTGTTGGGAATGAGTGGGTTACAAGACCTCAACCACTCGATACCCACAATGCTGAGCAGCAACATGTGCAAGTGTTGTTTTCCCAAGCCCAGGAGGACCGCAAAGCAAAAGAATCTGCAAGCAATTGGGTTCTCACAATTTAGTAAAATTAGAATAAAAATGAGTAAGAAACAAGGAACTAAAAATAGAGGACAAGCAGGCGACAAGTATAATACTAACAGAATTTCCATATGTGCAATATGTACTATAGAAAATTGGGGAGAATAGTAGCTAACAGAATATAATGGGGATATGACCATAGATGCAATATTATGGAAGTACATGATGAGAGATCATCGGACATCTGGACCATTAATCTAATCCCAACAAAACCAATCCTTGCATTACTAAAACCATCATAACTTGTCTTCACACCAAACAACCACTAAGGGTTTTACAATCCTTGGTTTCACTGTTTGTTGACTTCATCTTATAGTTGTGTATAGTAGATACAGACCAGATTGTAGATTTGATAGGAAGTTTGTAATTGACACTTTTTGGTGGTGGCCAGCATGCCCTTAATGCTGAAGAATACAACCTTACCAGTTTCAAAAAAAAAAAAAAAAAAAAATTGTGTCCGGACCAGCATGCGCCCACCTCGACTAATTCCATAGGATACCTGCCACCTCCCACCGGCAATAGGTACCAAGTAACTCTGTCCACCAAGGTTAGGACAAATAGAAAGAATCACCAAGTATTTTTGTCTCCGTTGCCTGAGACATCATGGCTCTTAGCCACTTCATTGACCACTAGGCCACACCCTTGGATGCTAATATTTGAGAAGATGAATATGTATTTCAAAAGAAGAGAGGTAAACAGTACCTACAATAATATTGTGCAAAATGAAAAAAAAAAAGAGAAGATCAGAATCAACTCTTTGATCATGTGCTTATATAAAAAATCAGAGCAAGGCAACCGATAAAGCACACAAACTATAAGATTGACAAGGGAGGGATAGCCTAGAAAAGGTCATCCACCTACAACTACAAGGTTAGGGATTCGAACACCAACAAAGAAAGTGGAAAAGGGCCAGTGTGACTGACCTTCTGTTCTGGAGGACCACTTTTTCTGTGCTTCTTGTCCCATAGGTCCTTAATTCTCTCCGAATCACTATTCTCTGGATGCAAATCATTATGAGCTTTCTCATTGTCTATTCTGGGTCCTCTGCTATTTCCAAAAGAACTCTTGGAAGAACGTCTTGGATGTTGGACAGCCAATGAATGCCGTTTTAGAGAAGACAAGACGTCATCTGTGGTACTCTTAATTTCAACTCCAAAAACACAGGAATCCCATTGCTTCAACCACATTAGTACCTACAGGAGAGTGACCAGAAAGTCAAGACCCCAACTCAGAATATCTCTACGAAAACACCTAAAAAGATTAGATAGGTGAGAAATACCTTAAATTTTTAAATGAAATATACTACATAGAAACCATGTGCTTTGGACTGTTTTTCTTGAGCCGAGGGTCTATTAGAAACAGTCTCTCTACCTTTGAGTTAGGGGTACAGTCTGCGTTTACTCAACCCTCACCAAACTCCACTTTGTGGGACTATACCAGGTATGTTGTTTGTTGTACTAAATAGAAACCATTATAAGAATAAATAAATTGCTAATATATGCAGTACCTGACGATTTGTTTGCTCATCACTGAGGAGCTCTGTAAACGAACTAGGGGCATATTTATCCACCCAAAGTTTCTCATTCACCACAGCTCCTATTGGAAGATTTGCTTCACTTAGATCTTCAGAACTAGCTTCCAGGGCCTTCAAGACAAAGGAGGAAAGCTTTCAAGGAGGAACAAAGAACTTATACATAAAAAGTAAAAAGCACATACAAAATTGTTGGAAACTTTAGCTACAAGGTTAATGCTTCATTTCACATATCTCTAATTCATCCAAAGGAAAATTGGGAGGGGAGTTGGGGTACAGAGACAACCCGTGAACCATCAAACATATTATCCCTCCTATTAAGAAAAAGGGCTAGGGGAACTAAGATATTTTCTTCAAATGCCAAGTTGAGATGAATTCTCAAAAAAAAAAAAAACCAAGTTGAGATGAAATGAGGAAGTACTATTAGTATATTTAGTACACTAACGAAAGAAAGAAGGAAAGCAATGCAGGACTTCAAAGAGAACTATAATTGACAGGATCGGACAAATATCTACTTTGCATCTTCTTAAAAGGAGTTTATAGTAGCAAATTGTTTTCCTCCATTTAATATGCAAGACAATTCAGAACTGTTGTGGTATTTTCAGAGATTTAGGAAACCTTATTCAATAACTCAACTCTTATGAACTGATCGGGTTCCTTTTCCATTTCATAACTACTCGTTATTACTTATTCTATTGAGAAGTATGAATTCATTGTTCTCTAATCATGGACCTGAGAGGAATCTGTAAAGGTCAAAGAGAGTTTCAAATTATTTTCTCCTCTCATCTTTCTTCTGTTTCAATTTGACAGGATCACTCAGAGTAAATTTAGCTATATATTCAACTGTGGAAGGCCAGTTGTGTTAACTGGACCTCAGCTTTGTAAATTTTCTCCACTTTGGTGATTAATTCAAGTTCAATTACCAAAAATATTTAGTTATAAATTGGAGAAGAATTGAGGCATAGTTGATAAATTGATTAAATGATTGATTGATAGAATGATAGCGGAGCAGGGATAGCAAAATAGAAACCGCACCTTTGTGAATTGGTCGTGTTCCACTCTTTGCATTAGGGCCCTGACAGGTTCCTGAATAAGACCTGGATAACATTTGCACTCTCTTAGTTATTCAGTGATTTGGAGATCCAAGTAAACAAAAGAGGGAAAAAACAGCACAGAGTATGCCAATAAGATGTAGAGGATGGCTTATTACACAGAGAACAAAAATGATTTGGAGTAGTACTTTCACATTCATAAGCTTTTACAGTAGGTACTGAAATGCTTGATCAACTCCAGTATTTGCAATCATCTAATTACACAAGGACAAATATGAAGGAACCATATAAAAAGCTAAAAGTACGTAAAAGTAAGCACAAAGGGAGTATGTGAATGAAAATCAATCGACACTTTATAAAGATATGGCCTGTAGGCCTTCCTCAACCCCAAAATCTTAACTCATGAGGGAGGATTGTCAAAGTTCATATAAGTAGACCATCAATCCATTGCTCAACCAATGGGGAACTCTAACCCACTCTAACACCCCTTTCACACCCAAGCCAAACTGGAGCAGTCAAGAGCCCAAACAAGGATGAACTTGGTTTTGATACCATGTAAGAAATGGCATTTGGGCATAACTCAACCCAAAAAAGCTAGTTCATGAGGGGGATTGCCAAATTCCATTCCCAACCAAAATGGGACTCGAACACACTTCAATTCCCTTTTCTTCTCATAAAAATTCTAACCATAGTCAAATTCACTTATCCACACATTCTTTTGTGTTTGGCACTTACTCCTTCACAAACCTACAGCAGAAACTTCAACCCAATATCTATGCCTTTAACCATTACACTAAGACTCAGACTTCCAACAATCACGACACAAAGTGCATAGCTCATCACACATACTAAATTATACGTGCATCTAATCCATTGGGGAAAAAATTGACTTGGCATATGCACTTGACATGATATAAAGAAAAATGCCACATTTTTAGATAACAATAGAAATTGAACTCACCAGTAGAATATCCCTTAACCTCTAGCTTCTTAACCCTTTCATCTTCAACTCTGCATATCTTAGCATAAACCCTCTCACCGTCCAAACCAGTCACCGGTGTACAATCCCCATCAATCTCCAAAGCATACTTAGCTAAAATCTTCTCTTCCGGTTCCTGTTCCAGTTCCAGTTCCTGCTCAACCACCATAGGTTCCTCCTCCTCAGGCTGCTTGGGAGGCGAATACCTAAGCCAATCCTCATCATTATCCTCAACTCTACTCCTCTTCTCCTCAGTGATGACTACTGCATTTCTATCATCCGACGACAACTCCGGATCATCGGGCAGGAATCGTTTCCTACTGTTGATCGGAAGTTGGGGCTTCGGTAGTGAAGGTTTCAGGGGAAGTGAGAGAGTTGGTTTCGGGTCGGGTTGAGATGCAATTTGTTCGGATCCGGGTGGTGATGGAGGTTGTTGAAGAAAATCGTCTTCAAACTCGAGGTCATCTTCTTCTTCATCAGGATAAGTAGCGTTGGCTTCGAGCCATTCGAGCTCTGCTGCATCTGGAAACTCCATATCCATTGCTTCTCCGATCTCTCTCTCTCCCTTTCTCTCTCTAAAGTGTTCTTTGCTATATTTTTGGCGGGAAATGGGAAGGTGAAAGGGGCGGCAAAGAAGAATGTGAATTTCCATAATTACCCTTCTACAAACATGCAACTTTTGTAATTTCTTTCTAGGGGTAAATAACAATTTTAGTCCTTGTATTATTTATATTTAATTGAAATGTATGATATTGATCCTTCAAATTAACAAAAGTTAAATATTTAACAGAATGATTATTTAAGACAATAAATTATGATGCTATGTCGGGGAAATGTGATGAGACAAGATATGACGTAGCTTCAAATTATCGAAGATATGATTCTAGATATGAGGGTATGGAGAACTCGTATTAGGGTAGAATGGTAAAAGATAATGTAGTATCATTTTGCTTAGGGTGGTTGGTGTTTGTGACAACACTGGTTGTGCTATTATGGTTCCCTTTTTTTTATCATGGTTTATTATTACTATTCGTTAATAATAATCTACTCTAGTATGTTGTTTATGAAATTTCGATTGTCACATGATTTTATTGTTGATTTGGCTACTTTTATGCTTTATTTTTGTTTCAATTTTCTCTTCATTGTCTTCTTCTTTACACAGAAGTTTGTTACACTTGAGTCGAGGGTCTTTCGAAAACAGTCTCTCTTCCTTTATAAGGTGGTAATAATTTTTACGTACATTCTATATACGGCAGACCTCACATATGTAATTTCATTGAATATAATTATTGCTATTTTAATTCTACCAAAATAACAGCTTTTCTGACGATGCCCCATTGTGAGGTTTTCCGTGACGTTGGGTTCATTTCTCATGCCTAATGACATGTTAAAGGCCCAATAACGATGTTGCTATAAGAGGTTTTTCGAGATGTCGAGTGCGATTCTAAAGCCAAGTAAGATGTCAAGGGGCATATGGGTCTATGTAGGCAGCACGGGCGTTCCACGTCCAGGGCTAGGCGGCATTAGCTAAGGCATGCGTCCATCAGACAAACGACGTCGGCTAACGGCAGGCTGCATCAGCCAAGGCTTACACGGATGTGGCATGTGCGCATCGATCGTGGAGGTCTTGTTTGCTATATCTAAAGATGAGCATAACTTTTCACTTTTTCACTTTTTGATGATGTTTTCTCAATTGTACATCCATATAAAATGATTTATTAAGAATTATAATTTTTTTATTTAAATTTGTTTGTCTGATTTTAACTTGAAATGAATTTTTTTTTAAAAAAACTTTGAATTTTATGGTTTTAAAAGTAAAAGTATATTTAATTGTATCAAATGCTACGTCGAAAGTTAAAATTAAAGAACTGTCAAAAATGAAAATAAACATTTAAAAAAAATGGACCTAAAAAACAAAGTAGTTAGGCCAAATAAATTAAAACGAAATGGACATAAAAGAAATACTTAGAATATAATTGTCAGTCAATCGACATAAATAGTTTAGAACTACTGGCTCCTTACCAACATAATTATTTTTGAAAATTGAAATAGTTATTTGATAAAAAAATATAATTTGAAGCCACGTCAATAAAATGTATTGTATTGGAATGACTATATTGGGAGGGGGAGGGAGGGTCCAAAAGTTAATCGCATTTAATATTTATATCAATTTAATAAATACATGACATGATTTTATGTATATTAATTATGTCTCGAGTAAAATGTAGGATTTATTTGAAGGAAATTAAATAAGAAAAAAAGAAGAGGAAAATTCAATTTATGATTTTAGGCAAAATTGAAATAATTTTTTTTTAAAGAAACAGAAAAGAAGAAAGAGCAAAGAATCAAAGTCCTAAATTAAATCATTTACAAATAAGGAAAATTAAGAATAATTATTTTAATATATTTTTAATAATTGATTAAGAAGCATGCGGAGTTAAGTTAAAACAAAGTAATTAGGCCAAATAAATTAAAACGAAATGGACATGTAAGAAACACTTAGAATATAATTGTTAGTCAATCGACATAAATAGTTTAGAACTACTAGCTCCTTACCAACATAATTATTTTTGAAATTTTAAAATAGTTGTCTGATGAAAAAATATATTTTGAAGTCACGTCAATAAAATGTATTGTATTGGAATGACTATATTGGGAGGGGGGGGGGGGAGCAGGGTCCAAAAGTTTACGCATTTAATATTTATATCAATTTAATAAATATATGACATGGTATTTAATGTATATTAATTATGTCTCAAGTAAAATGTAGGATTTATTTGAAGGAAATTAAATAAGAAAAAAAGAAGAGGAAAATTCAATTTATGATTTTAGGCAAAATTGAAATAATTTTTTTTAAAAGGAACAGAAAAGAAGAAAGAGTAAAGAATCAAAGTCCTAAATTAAATCATTTACAAATAAGAAAAATTAAGAATAATTATTTTAATATATTTTTAATAAATGATTCAGAAGTATGAGGACTGAGGAGTTAAGTTAAAACAAAGTAATTAGGCCAAATAAATTAAAACGAAACGGACATATAAGAAACACTTGGAATATAATTGCCAGTCAATCGACATAAATAGTTTAGAACTACTAGCTCCTTACCAACATAATTATTTTTGAAAATTAAAAACAGTTGTCTGATGAAAAATATAATTTGAAGTCATGTCAATAAAATGTATTGTATTGGAATGACTATATTGGGAGGGGGGTCCAAAAGTTTATCGCATTTAATATTTATATCAATTTAATAAATATATGACATGGTTTTATGTATATTAATTATGTCTCAAGTAAAATTTGGGATTTATTTGAATGAAATTAAATAAGAAAAAAAAAAGAGGAAAATTCAATTTATGATTTTAGGCAAAATTGAAATAATTTTTTTTTAAGAAAAAGGAATAGAAAAGAAGAAAGAGCAAAGAATCAAAGTCCTAAATTAAATATTTACAAATAAGGAAAATTAAGAATAATTATTTTAATATATTTTTAATAAATGATTGAGAATCATGAGGAGTTAAGTTAAAACAAAGTAATTAGGCCAAATAAATTAAAATGAAACGGACATATAAGAAACACTTAGAATATAATTGTCAGTCAATCAACATAAATAGTTTAGAATCACTAGCTCCGTACCAACATAATTATTTTTGAAAAAAATAATAGTTGTTTGATGAAAAAAAAATTGAAGCCACGTCAATAAAATGTATCGTATTGGAATGACTATATTGGGAGGGGGGGGGAGTAAAAGTTTATCGCATTTAATATTTATATCAATTTAATAAATATATGACATGATTTTATGTATATTAATTATGTCTCAAGTAAAATGTAGGATTTATTTGAAGGAAATTAAATAAGAAAAAAAGAAGAGGAAAATTCAATTTATGATTTTAGGCAAAATTGAAATAATTTTTTTTTAAAAAAAGGAACAGAAAAGAAGAAAGGGCAAAGAATCAAAGTCCTAAATTAAAGTCATTTTACAAATAAGGAAAAATAGGAATAATTATTTTAATTTATTTTTAGTAAGTGATTAAGAAGTATGAGGAGTTAAGTTAAAAGGCAAGCACATAGCATCATCTCAAGTTACTTTATTTCATATAATTTAATTTAACATAACTTATATACTTATAAGGTTTCTGATTTAGTAATTGTAATGAAAGTTAATATAGAATTTAATGGTTATTTTTTGTGTTTCATGTTGTAATAATGTAACTAAATTAATATTTTGAATTTTTTTTTTGAGCAATAGTTTAGTGTTTCACTAATTGCAATGGGAGAAAGGGCGAACACAACAAGAAATTTGGCAAAAGAATACAAAATAACACGACGGTTACAGTCAAACGATGGTTTTCTAGCAAGCAAAAGCATGTGAAATGACTATCACTATTCTCGTGAAACAAACATGTTGACAGAGAGAAGTTTAAATACCCCTCTCGTAGAATAACAAAAGCTCAAGCTCAAAACACTATCCAGAACCTATCAGTTTCTCAATCCCAAAAAATTCAAAAAATGCCTAATGATATCATCCTTAACATTCTTCTAAGACTTCCTATCAAATCGCTTTTACGATTCAAATGCGTTTGCAAATCATGGCGCTCTTTAATTGAAGATCCTCAATTCATTAAGCATCACTATGATATGTCTAAAAGTGATGTGAATCGTCATAAAATATTTCTAACAGGAGGTATATGTGACAACATGGACAACTATTTCTACTCTGTAGATGCTCCACTTCAATATGATTCTGTTGTCTCTGTTCTCGAGACTCCGATACCTGGAATCAATACCTTAAGTAGAGTAAGTTTTATTAGTTCTTCCAGTAATGGTATAATTCTTATAGTTTTTCCTTATGATTTAATCATTTTGTCGAACCCAGCCACCGGAGAATCAAGAAAAATTCCTAGCCCAATTCCTAAAAAGAAAAAGTTAGAGAGAAGACAATTTCCTGCTATTTATGGTTTTGGATATGTTTCATCTATCGATGATTATAAAATAGTTAGGGTAGGGGGAAAAGATAACTCACATGGACATTTTGAGATCGAATTGTTTTCGACGAAAAGTAACGCTTGGAAATTGCTTGGCAAGTTTCCTCCAAACAGCTTTTACTTCGAAGGGGGCATTGTTACCATCGATGGTATCGTTTATATGATAGAGATGGCGGATTTATCTAGAAATATTAATAGATCTACTATATTAAGTTTTTGCTTGGAAAACGAACAATTTCAGGATGTTTTGTTTCCAGATCAAATTCAAAAGTTCCAAGATCCTATTTTGTATGTTTTAGGAGAAAATATTTGTTTGACTAGGATGCACGATCTAGCTAGACGAGATTTTGAAGTTTGGCATATGATAAAAGATGGATCAATGAACAACATATGGAGTAAGATCTTGACGATTCCATCGATGCATTGTGGACGTTGCTTGAGGCCCGTGAGTTTAATGAAAATTAATGGATACATAATGCTTCTGAAGCATAAGGGTGATTTCGAGGTCTATAACTCAAATGGAGAGCAAATCGAAATAGTTGAAGTTCCTGGGCTTGAGTCATCACTTTTCTTCAATTGTATTGTACCGTATGTAGAAAGTTTGTTTACTCCTAAACGGAAACGGATTTAAGATTTCAAGAAAATGGATGTAATGCAAGGAGAGACATTAGAGATGGGCATGGTCTAATTAACTTTTGTCTTTACTTTATCTTTTGTATTGACATGATCAAATCATCTTGTACTATTTTAATTTTCTTTTTTCGTTGATGTTTCTCTAAATTAAATTTGACAACTCTTGATGCAGATATATAAAAATATACTTTTCAATTTTCGCATGTTAGAATGGTCAAAATTACTAGGTTTCAGGGCATAGTCTGATGGAGTAGATGCTTCGATTTTGAGTTGTTTATTTAATAAAGAAGTGAATTCATTACACAAATTTCAATTTGACAATTGAAAAAAAAAAATTAAAAAATTTAAAGGACCTAACATAATCTTTTTTTTTTACACATTTGTGAACATGGGTTAAATTAATTGTCATAACGTGTGTGAGCATATACTTGTTTTTACTCATATAATAAAGTATGAGAGGGCGGACCAGATCATATTTGCCCAAATTTAGCTGAAAATTTTAGAAATAATAATAGTTTGAGGCCTTATTATCAAACATAGTTTACTTGATTACAATTCATAGATATTATTTTGAAGTTATATATATACAAAAAATTTAATTAAAGATTTTGTATTTTTATTTTATGAATGTGCTTTTTATTTTTATTTCTTACAGAAAACACTTGACCCTCACGAGTCTTGCACGGTGCAAAATAGAATTAATATGCCAGTTAATTCTAATATTTATGACTTAATTAGACACCCGATACTACGAGGGCAATCTTGTCATTTCATGTGCTTCACAAGGATAATGATCATCGTTTCACGAGTTTTGATTTAATTCTAATATTTATGACTTAATTAGACAGCCTCAAAATCACCCTCATGCTTCAAAAACATTATGCATCCATTAATTTTCATTAAACTCACTGGCCTCGAGCAACATCCGCAAAGCATCGATGAAATCGTCAAGATCTTACTCCATGTGTTGTTCATTGATCCATCTTTTTTTATATTCCAAACTTCAAAATTTTGACTTGCTAAATCGCGTATCCTAGTCAAACAAAGATTTTCTCCTAAAATATACAAAATTGGATCTGGGAACTTTTGAATCTGATCTGGAAACAATATGTCCTGAAATTATTCCTTTTCCAAGCAAAAACTTAATATAGTAAATTCATTCATACTTCTAGATAAATTCGTCATCACTATTATATAATTGATACCTTTTGTGGTAACAATGTCTCCTTCGAAGAAAAAGTTATATGAAGAAAAATTGCCAATCAATTTCCACGAGTTACTTTTCGTTGAAAACAGATCGATCTCAAAAAGACCAATTGAGTTATGTTTTTTCCCTACTCTAACTATTTTATAATTCTTGATAGATGAAACATAGCCCAAACCATAAATAGTAGGAAATCATTTTCTCTCCAACTTTTTCTTTTTATGTATTAAGCTAGGATTTTTTTTCTTGATTGTCTGACGATTGGGTTCCACAAAATGATTAACTCATAAGAAAAAACTATAAAAATTATATCATCACCGGCAGAACTAATAAAATTTACTCTACTTAAATGATTGATTCCTCGTATCGGTGGCTTAAGAAGAGAGGCAACAAAATCATATTGAAGTGTAGCGTCTATAGAGTAGAAATAGTCATCCATGTTGTCACATAGACCATCAGTCATAAAGATTTTATGATGATTCACATCACTTTTAGAAATACCATAGTGATGCTTGATGAATTAGGGATCTTCAATTAAAGAATGCCATGATTTGCAAATGCATTTGAATCGTAAAAGTGATTTGACATGAAGCCTTAAAAGAATATCATTAGGCATTTTGAAGATCTTTGGATTGAGAAATTGATTGGATGTGGGTAGTGTTTTGAGTTTGAGTTTTTCTTATTCTATAAGAGGGAGTATCTAAGCTCTTCTCTATCAACATATTTGCTTCATCACGAGGACAATCTTGTCATTTCATGTGCTTCACGAGGATAATATCCTATCCTCGTGAATTACACGTGCAATATACGTATATATATAATTCGACATACATGTATATTGCACATGTAATGCACATGTCGACATATACGTATATTGCACATGTAATTCACGAGGATGATCAGTATCCTCGTGAAGCACATGAAATGACAAGATTACCTTAGTGATGGAGCAAATATGTTGACAGAGAAGAGCTTAGATACTCCCTCTTATAGAATAAGATTAACTCAAACTCAAAATACTACCCAAAACCAAGCAATTGCTTAATCCAAAGATCTTCAAAATGCCTAATGATAATACCATTAATATTCTTCTAAGACTTCCAGTCTAATCGCTTTTACAATTCACGTTTGTAAAATCATGACGCTCATTAATTGAAGATCCTCAATTCATCAAGCATCACCAAGAAGTAATGTAAATCGTCATAAATTTTTTATGACTGGTGGTCTATTTGATAACAGGGACGACTATTTCTACTATATAAACGCTACATTTCAATATGATTCTGTTGCCTCTCTTCTTGAGCCTCCGATACCAGGAATTAGAGCCGTCAAAACGAGTTTAGCCCATGGGGCCAATCCGATCCAACCCGTTATTGGGGTTGGGTTGGGATAAAATTATTCAAGCCCATTTAAAATTTAGGGTTTATAAGTCCGACCCATATAATCCCTTTACCCTTGAGGCTTGATGGGGGCCGAGTCGGGGTCGGCCAAAACTTTTTATCTAAGGGTAACTTACAATAATCTCACTAGTTTATAGTCTAATTACTTAAATACACCATATGTTTTTAATATTATGAATCTTACCAGATTTTGGTACGTCCAGATACATGTATCTCGGAATATATGGACTCAAAATTAGGTTAATTTGTTCTAGATACACTCTATCGAAGTAGATTCGCATGTATCCAGGATACATAGACAAATCTCGCGCCCTCGCTTCCCTCCCATCTTACTTGTCACTCTCTTATCTCGCTCGTGTATATGGTATGCGAGATACATGCTAATTACACTAGATTTTTTTATAGTGTTATTGAAACAACACCATTGTCATGTTAAATTTGATTTGAAAATCTTCTCATTTTCTTGATGTTATAGAATTATAAGTTTGAAAGAAAAAAAAAAGGGCTAGCCCGCCCTAACCCTAGGCCCTTTTGGGGTTGGGTTGGGTTGAGCATTTTCAGTCCCTTACAAATGAAGGGTCGGCCCGCCCTAGCCCTTCAAATTCCTTGGCCGCGAGCTTGGGCCCGATGGGGCTGGTCCAGCCCTACCAAGAGTCAATCATTTAAATAAAATAAGTTTTATTAGTTCTTCCGGTAATGGTATAATTCTTATAGTTTTTCCTTATGATTTAATCATTTTGTGGAACCCGACCATCAGAGAATCAAAAAAAAATCCTAGCTCAATCCCTTAAAAGAAAAAAGTCAAAGAGAAAATGATTTCATACTATTCAAGAAGTATTGTTTTACAAATCAGATTCAAAGTTATGGTTTATTGAATTGTAAACCATAAATTCAATTCCATATCTTAACAACACCTAGTCTCCATTTTTGGATCCAACAAAGTTCATAATAATTTGTATAGTTTATTAATTCAACCATAATCTTACTCCATGATGCATTCTTTTCCAAATATCAAACTTCAAAATATAAAACTGAGTTTTCGCGCAACTTAGTCAAACAAAGATTTTCTCCTACAACATACAGTTGTGGATCGTCCCCAAATTTAATTCTATCTAGAAATAACAATGTCTAAGGATTTAAAAAAAAATTAGACTAAGGATTTTTTTTTGATTCTCTAGTAGTTGGATTCCATAAAATAACTTCATCATAAAGGGAAATTCATGTATACTTTACTTGGATCTGTTTTTATGCTATTAGCTATTCTGTTGATTCTTCTCCAAACAAGAACAACCGATTTACAAATCTCATTAACCACAAAATTTAGTGAGCGGCACCAAATCTTTCTATGGAAAGTATTATGCCATTGCAAGAAATTATACATACCCTACTAAATTGATCATAGTTGATTTCAGGGATTACCTCAACAAGAGAAACAACGGAATCATGTTGAAGTGGAGCGTCTACGGAGGAGTAGTAGTAATGATCATCCTTCTTACAAAACAAAGACACCAAGAATTTTCGTCTATTTATATCACTTTTGCATAGATCGTGGCAAAGATTGATGAATTGGCCATCTTCAATTGAAGAACACCCTGATTTGCAAACGCGTTTGAACCTTATAAGCGATTTCACAGGAAGTTTTAGTAGTACATCAGTGATGATATCAAGGGGAATGGTATTGTTTTATGCATTTTGATATGTATTGCGGCTGCTTGTTGCTAGGACTAGGGTTTTATATAAGATGGGGAAAAACAACTAGGGTTAGGGTTTAATATAAGATGGGCCATCAATTTTTGGACCATATTGACATCCCATGTTGTGCCCAAACTAAGCCCAAATTTCATAAACAACAATAATTTGAGGCCTAATTATCAAACATAACAATAGTTTGACTAATTACAATTCATAGCTATTATTTTAGAGTGATATATGTTCGCTCTATATTTGGTGTATCTATTCACCCAATCTCGTTATATTTACATATAAAATTTCACTAAATACATTGTGATTTGTTCGCTTGACCTAGTTATATCCACACATACATAAACTAGAAATACAAACAAAAGAACAAATGAGTGTATACAAGGATAAATACACTCAACAAAAAAATGCATACAATAAACAACATTTACAAAAAGAATAGATATATGTATCAAGAAGTTTACTTATAATACCTAAATTAAGTATTATAATAGAAGGAAGTAAGAAAGTGAGGGGAAAACCAAATTATACTGAAAAACAATGAAGAAATTGAAATAATTCATACTAGAAATTTATAGAATATATTTTGGTTGGGTTTTGTCACACTTAAATTTATAGGCATGGTTTATAGAATATATTACACTAGTATATAGTTTATAATAAAGAAGACATTTGTGTATATAGTTTATAGAA